GCAGGGAGCCCGATGCGGGACTCGATCCAGGGACTCCAGGATCATGACCTGAGCCGAAGGCAGTCGCTTAACCAACTGAGCCACCCAGGCGCCCTGGAAATTCTTTAAATCCCTCTCCAGTGTCTGGGATGAGCAGAGTGGGTCAACCCAAAGTTCTGAGCCCTGATCTGAACCCATGTGGGCTGGGTCCCACTTCTCCCATTTGGAGGGCTTTCTGGTTTCTAACCACCAGCATGACATTGAACAAATACCCTAAGAATCTCACTTTCCAATCATGATTCTGCTGTTAATTTGCTCTATGATGACTTTAAATAAATTAACATGAACTTAAATCTCTTTATCCTGAAAATTAGAGGATTAAACCCCAGATAATATTTGAGATATCTTTTACTTACAGGAATTCATCTACTAGTCATCTAATAGATCAAAAACTTAATTGTAAAAAATGAACACTCAACCATATCCTGTATCCATAAAATTGGAAAATGAAATGTGTGCCATAATATTTAAATTAATAAAACAAATATGAATGGTATATTGTGTTTTGGGGAATATATTTTCAATAATACATTTCTTATGATTGTTCCCCTTGATTATCTAAAGTATATTCTTAGTGATTTATAATTAACCATTTGGAGAATTTAATTTCACTTTAAGATTAATAAATTAGGGCATACATTTTTTTAAAATATGGAATGCTTCACAAATTTGTATGTCATCTTTGTGCAGGGGTCATATTAATCTTCTCTACATCATTCCCACTTCAGTAAATGTGCTGCCGAAGCAAGCACAGGGCATGCATTTTTAATAATCATATATATTTTCCTTTTATAAGGACTCTAATATCTAGTATTTAAAATCAATGTTCACAGATATTAAATAAATAAGAAAAATAGGACTTAATGCTGAAATTTATTATGACAGAAAAACAGCTACATTGTCAACACATGGATTAAAAAAATGTTGATGGAATTGGTTATAAGATAATGTAAAACAGACTTCAAGGACTAAGCAAGATGGTGGAGGAGTAGGAGACCTGGATTTCGTCTGGTCCCAGGAATTCAGCTGGATAGGGATCAAACCATTCTGAACACATACGAACGCAACAGGAGATCGAAGAAAAGAATACCAAC